ATTTGATTGGTCCAAACACAAAAAATTACATATGCAATTATTGGCTGATAATGCACACTTGTCCTAACAAACATGAATTTGAACATGAATTGATTACAGGTTTAATGGGGAAATACATAAAACAGGAAGTATTGATTTTTAAGGAAAATATATAGATGAGATCGAGGGATTAGGGACGAAACACACACACACCCAAACAGAATGGGGAATTTGAATTTGAAAAAGTTGGCCGACACCAACGTGTTATCGACGAGTAAATCAGCTAGTTTAATTAGAACATAATAATATGCCCAAGTCCTGTTGCCGGAAAATCAAGGTTTTTTTATTTTTTACACATTTAGTATACAACCCGGTCCCAATTATATCACAATGTGTTTTTTATGTAAATGGCAATATTGTATTGTAAAATGTACGTTATATTACTATATCAGTTTAATATTTTTAATAACATTATACAACGTGTTTTCATAATAATAAACTTTATTGCCATACTAGTCCACCGGCCCATCACAATCTCAAATTTACATTTCTTGAAAACATTAATAATACATATTAAATACAACGTGTTTTATGTATCACTGAAAAGCGTAATTATGGCATTTTGACAATTTACGAAAATAAGTCACACGAAAATAATTGTATTTTTCTCTTAAAAAATACCATTATGATAATGTTTTTTTGAAAATGGTACTAAAGGTATAACATTTAAAACTGCAACTCAAGCGTTGTTAGCAAACGTCACTATGACGGAAGATACATATATGGTATTTGAAAATAACAGTATTATAACGTAATAAATTTACGATATAATAACGTTTTTAAAGAAACGTTATTTGTATGATATTACAAAGCATAAATATGCTGGTTTTCTTGCAAACACCATTATAACATAATTATTTACTCCATAAATGCATCATTTAATAATGTTATAAAATTTACTCATTTTTTGGAGATATAATAACGTTTTTGAAAAAATTTAATTTTAAATCTGATAACGCTATAATTACGAACAGCAGCTGTGTACCGCCAACGATAACAATCGGCGTCCCGTGGCGGCGTTCGAATAGCTGACAAAACTGCATCCGGGTAATTGCCATCTATTTCAAAGACTACGGGATGACACAGAATTCGACGACGATATATGGTATTGTAGTTCTCCACTAGGGGTGAATAAATTATGGGAGATGATGAAGGTAATTTCGAAAGCTGCAGATTTGTCCTAAGTGTACACCAACCACTGTATTAGATCGTGCATGTCCCACAGCAGGTTATTTTTACAACTGTATGGGGCATGTGAATCGTTGCCAATAGTTTCAGACTGAGAACTGCAAGGGAATAACGTGTATACACGCCATAGTTCGACTTTAGTAACGTGCGAGCCATGACAGTGACAAGGAAATTCATTATAATAGCTGTATTTGTTGTTTTATGCTTGGTAACAACTGTGGAATACGGAGTTCTCGTCATACCATTCGCTGTTAAGAAATGGACAACCTTAAAAAAGAGTATATACTTGACCTTGTATGAGTGAGTACATATTTATATCGTTGTATACCATTGTGTATTTACACTCGTCATTGGTTATGCATAGTTACCACCCTTCCCACAATCCTCTCCATACTAGTAATGTATATATATACACTCAGACGTTGCTGTTAGGACCCGATGCTTAATTTTTGACGAAAGTAGTTGCCACCATCTTGGATTAATCAACGGCAGTTCATATTGATTAAATTAAATATCTGCCATCTAGAAGCGTACACATAGTTCCATAACATCACGTGACACAGTCTTCATATAGGCATTGTGGGTGAGAGACGCAATCGCAGATAGTTGCGAGTTTTTATTTTGGCTATATGGCACCAGCAATGAATTCAGACGTTTTGCCCTAAAATAAATATAAATAAACCGTGATTGTAAAGTGTGAAGTTATTAGCAAATACATATTTTGTAACAGTATTGTTTTAGTATAGAAAATGCTCATATTTGTATAATTAAATACATAAGTAGCAGAGTTATCCAAATAAACACGCGGTGGTCACATGGCCAAGAGAGGCATAAGCTCATTTATGAAATTTATTATAAGATCTGAGACCGAAAACAATAGAACAAACCCGTCCGTAAAATGACGTACAGACGAGTTAGAAGGTATCTACCTTATTTGGAAAGTGTAGGTCACGTTTACAGACCAATGGCAGACCATCATGGTTATTTTCTAGTTAACTGTATACAAAATTCAAAATAATTAGTGGCTAAGCTAATTTAAACTGCTAGTACATGTCTATGAATATATTACCTTGACCGTACGTATATAATTATTTGTGTTTTCAGGTAGAACAGTCAGTTGATGAGCATTTCTGAGGGTTGTGCACTGATCGAAAGTTCAGTAGTGAATGACTTGTTTGCTTTGTTCATGGTATTATAATGCTGGACAATGCCTTTAAAACCTACCCATACATCAGTATATGTATCAGGGATATATTCATGAGCGTATAATAGTAAACAAAGGTTGTTCTTACAATCTAAGGTGCAAATCAGTAAATACTAGTAGTCTTTTTTGGGGTACCATTATAAAGTATTAAGGTAGCGAAAAGGGTTTTGTGACGTTTTCGAATAAATCATTCTCTGTCTGTTGTCTTGTTCAGAAGAGTAATTTAGCTTATATATTTCAAAAGACTAGGTATAGAGGTACAAGTTCGCACAAACTGGACGGTCATTGTTTACATAATTATCACGTGACATCAAAAATGGCTATGATGACCAAGTCCGCGATTGCGAGAGCACACTGCGGAATTTCCTGGTGAAATTTACGTCATGCATTGTCCGTAATCAAGTCCATTGAAATGCGTCTCCGATAATCAAAAGACCTATTATTCCGATTTCTACGCAGGTTTGTTTTTTTGTGCTCAAATTATTTCATACTTGGCACTTTTAACAGACTATTATTCTGTGACAAAGCATTTTCTTTAAAAACCCAGACATATTTCGCACCATCATTATCTTTTGAACGATAACTGCGAGTTTGAATGTCCTAGTCCGAACGCACTTGATTTGGCGGCGGTCCCAATGAGTCGTACTCAATCGAAACTTCAATTCGAGAAAAACGCGAAAAACAGTCTTGGTTAATAAAACACTGTAGATTTGCTGCATTATTATAAATATACACTAAAAATGGCCAAACATATTAACCACTGATATCATAGAGCTCATAAAGAGTGTCAGATAATGAATAATTTCAAGCTCGAGCGTGAAAAATGAAGAA